ATAGAGAGAGAGAGACTGGGGGGAATCATATAGAGAGAGAGAGACTGGGGGGAATCATAGAGAGAGAAAGAGAGAGAGACTGGGGGAAATCATAGAGAGAGAGAGAGAGACTAGGGGGAATCAGAGAGAGAGAGACTGCGCGAACGGGATGGGCCGCGAATGCGCGGCGCCCTGTGAGGATGAGCGTCCCGCCTGTTCGCGCTCCTAGAGCGCGAGCAGAGCGCAACGGTAGGGAAAGAAGGTGGCGAGCGTAGCCACCAGTAGAATAAGTGGGAAGAAGGGGGAGACACAATCCCTTTGAGCAGGGAGAGGAGAGCGCTGGGAGAGCCTGTCCCGTTTTACCAGAAAGCCTCATCCCAGTACCCTGCCCCAAAGTGAGCACAGCTCCCCTGACAGGGGAGGGTAGACCCACTCAGGTCCCCCTGGCACCCAATACCCTAATACCAGCAAATAAAACAATAGAAAAAACAACCAGGTACAATTAAAGCAAAACATGCAGTCAATAACACCTTAAAGAAACCTGACAGGAATCATAAAGAAATCAGTACTCTGACCTGACTCGTGATGGAGCAGCAAAGAAAGAGGAAATGGTTGGCTACGCTGGGACTTATATATCCTCTGTTTTACTCTGATTGGTTCTTTCTTTAATGGTTTTTTCTTTGCTGCTGTGGAGCTAGTAAAGAAAGTTAATGCAAATACGAAGCCTCCTGTCATGTTATAAAATTCTAGAATTAATCACAAATTTTGGGCGGAGAAACTAAAGTATTAAAGGAGCACTATAGGGTCAGGAACACAAACATGTATTCCTGACCCTATAGTGTTAACACCACCATCTAGCCCGCCTGGGCCCCTCATGCTTCCATAAATATAGCTAAATCTTACTGTATTCAAGCCAGAAGCTGTAACTCTGCATGCTGTTAGACTCAGAAAAACAAGCAGTCTGCTGACATCCACACTTAGTATTCAGTTACAGAGCCTTCGGTAGCATACAGCATAAGGGTGTCGACCTGTCCCTCTGCGGATTCGCCGCCGTAATTGCCGTCTGTTGGCCGTCTGTTTCCTCAAACTTCCAGGGGGAGGAGCTTTCTCGGGTGCGTGACGTCAGGTGCGTAACTTTACGCACCTGACGTCACGCACCCGAGAAAGCTCCTCCCCCTGGAAGTTTGAGGAAACAGACGGCCAACAGACGGCAATTACGGCGGCGAATCCGCAGAGGGACAGGTCGACACCCTTATGCTGTATGCTACCGAAGGCTCTGTAACTGAATACTAAGTGTGGAGGAAGGTGATATATTGGTGCTGTGCTGGGCAATAAAGATTTTGGAATATTTTTTCGTCTGTGCAGTCCTACATTTGAAGAAGCTGTTAAAGCTAGAGCAGGCTTATTCTGCTCTACTTTTGTGAGTGCAATATTTGGCATTTATTATCCATACTACCATTTTAATACGGTTTCACACTATTGGTTTTTTTATGTCTCTTTTCCTTTCTATGTATATTTGGAGTTGAGAGGCCATATGTATGTATAATATTTTATACTGATATTCTACACTTTAAGTGCACTTTGTATCACTTTGCACTTTATCAATTTGTTTGCACTTAGTTGCACTTTATATATTTTTGGGTCTTAAAGACACAGCGCACCTTATTATTTTTAAGTATATTCACTAAAGTGTTTGGAGGAGTTTTACACTTGTTTTTGGTGCAGCTCTTTTTTATATTAACAGGTTGTTTTGTTTTATTTTAGACGATTTTATTACGAGCGCCTACTTTTTACTTGTTTTCTGTGTATAGTCTGCTGACATCATCAGAAGTGGTAGCCCGATCCAATCACAATGCTTCTCCATAGGATTGGCTGAGACTGACAAGGAGGCAGATCGGGGCAGAGCCAGCAGGATTCAAACACAGCCCTGGCCAATCAGAATCTCCTCATAGAGATACATTGAATCAATGAATCTCTACGAGGAAAGTTCAGTGTCTGCATGCAGTGGGAGAAGATACTGAATCACAGGATGCTGTGCACAGTGCTGCCCTGTGCTCTGCTGACAGATCTGAGTGGATGGAGGCATATTATGCCAATCCTATGGGGAAGCATTGTGATTGGATCAGTCCACCACTTCTAATGATGTCAGCAGACTGCTTGTTTTTCTGAGTCTAACAGCATGCAGAGTTACAGCTTCTGGCTTGAATACAGTAAGATTTTTACTATATTTATGGAGGCATGAGGTGCCCTGGGGGGCTAGATGGTGGTGTTAACACTATAGTTTCACGAATATATGTTTGTTTTCCTAGGTGTTCCTAGCTTTCTCAGAACATGTGTTTCCATGAGAGAGGCCGCAGGGAGCTATAGTTCTCACCTGAACCACCTCATTAAGCTGACTATAGTGTCCCTTTAACCCCCTTAAGGACCAAACTTGTGGAATAAAAGGGAATCATGACAGGTCACACATGTCCTGTGTCCTTAATGGGTTAAATGGAGCAATGGACTTTGCAGTGATCCTATCCAAGACCATAAGTTAATTCTTCCCTTGATGTCTCATTGTGTAACTGATATTCTCCTTTCTGCAGGCGTGAAGCTTTTCACAGTTGTTTTGTATCTGAGGGGATCACAGAGGCACCATGTCGGGGGCCGGCAGTAAGAGAGCCTCGGGAGATAACAGCTCCGGCCCTTCAGAGAAAAAACCAAATCGTGATGAAAAGACACCAACTACACTTATTGAGCCCATCCGTCTGGGCGGCATTTCCTCCACGGTTAGTATCCACAGTCCCATTCCCACTTCCCACTCCAATGTTCCTTCCTAGATTTCCTGTCCTATTTGCAGCTGCTCAGGATTCCTCCTTTGGAGCCCGTTGTTTGCTGGAATGTCTGACTCCAAGTCTTTGCAATAGAAAACTGGGCGGGTGTGTCAGATGGCGCTGGCATCCAGCCACACGCAGTTGGCACCATTGATGACACAGGAGGAATGGGGAAGCCTTGCTAGCGCTATGCTTACCTGCTCACTATCCTTTACAGGAGGAGATGGATATGAAGGTCTTGCAGTTTAAGAACAAGAAGCTGTCAGAACGTCTTGAGCAGCGCCAGGGGTTTGAGGATGAACTTCGTGAAAAGATTGAGAAGTTGGAGAAAAGACAAGCCACGGATGATGCCACACTGCTAATAGTGAACCGTTACTGGAGTAGGGTGAGATGGAAGTGTTGCTCTGTGTGCTAAAAATATCCATGTTTTTCCATTTCTTTCTCCAGTGTACTTCCTTTTTATATATCATCTTGGTGTGTTTTCTGTCTTTCTCTCCTCTATGTGTTTCCTGTTTCCCATCCTCTTACAGCTGTGTTTATGTGGTTCCCCTCCTCTCCTTCCTGATGCATTTCCTGTTTCCCCTCCTCTTCCACCTGTGTTTCCTTGTTTCCCCTCCTCTTCCACCTGTGTTTCCTTGTTTCCCCTCCTCTCCCTCCTGATGTTTCCTGTTTCCCCTCCTCTTCCACCTGTGTTTACTTGTTTCCCCTCCTCTCCTTCTTGATGTATTTCCTGTTTCCCATCCTCTTCCAGCTGTGTTTGTGTTTCCTCTGCTCTCCCTCCTGTTGTGTTTCCTGGTTTCCCCTCCTCTTTTCCCTGATGTATTTCCTGTTTCCCCTCCCATTTGACTTGGTGTGTCTCCAGTGTTTCCTAACTTTCCTTGTTACGGATAGCTCATTCTTTCCCCACACTCTCGTTCTTTAACAGCTGGAGGAGAATGTCCAGCAGCTGTTGAAGCGCTATGATACTGAGCCCCCCACTCAGAGCGGCCCTCCGGTTGAACCCCCTGAGCAGAAGGAGAATCGTCCAGAGACAGAGCATGGAATTGAGGAGTTGCAGCCGCTGGCAGAGAGTGAAAGTAAAGGTGATTATATTTGTATAAGTGATGAGTAGTTAGATGAGCTGCAAGCCAAGCTCTTAGTAAACAGGAAGGCTGCTCTGGATCTAATGGAGACTAAAAAGAAGCTGTGTGAATGTGCTACCAATGTCTGCCCGGAACGACAGCTGCTGAAGTGGGTCCCTAAGCCATCTGTAAATGACAGAGGAGAAGCCCATCTGGCTGGGATGAAACTGCTGTATGGCACCATAGCTCCCTCTGCTATTCACAGTTAGCCTAGGGAAGCAGGATTTCCTTTTTTAGTATAGGCGGTCTGTCTTTTACTGCTAATTATTATCATTATTGTTTGCCTAAACTGCAAAGCTGTTGACGTAATTCCCTGATGAGTTGGGAAAATCAATGGATCTCCTGTGTCCTGGTATTAGCTTTTTCACATCACATTTGAACAAAGTCACCTTCTTTTTATGTTGTTATTGACAGAAGAGAGAAGCCATGAGAAGTAAGACAATGGTAGACCTATATCTGTATTCAGATTTGACTCTGCAGTATGTTTTTTTTTTTTTTGTCATTCTTTCTTTTATCGAGGCAATCAAGTATAGGATACAGAAACGAATAGAAGTATGTGGTTATCATGCATCAGAACAACACTGTATCAACGAAGACAAGGTTGCACAACTCCTTCGTGTGCCTGCCTCTTTCTGGTAGCAAGGAAAATAATAAAAGCAATATAAGTAATAAAAACAGTGAGGGGCCAAGTACCTAACTAAGCTTTCATGGTCGAATCTGGTACTACCCCGTTGTAGCGGAGAGCTGATTTTCCACAGCTGAACTCCACCAATATATTAAGAGGATGCAGGAACAAGTAATAAATCCAAGAGAATATCCAGCACTATCAGCAATACAATCCAATAGTATCCCATCACCCTTCCCAATCACTGGACGACACACAGTATCAGGAGTAGAACTGAAGTTTAATGGCAACATTCCTGCTTTTATGAGATTCTCCCATGCAAGGGAGGGATTCACCACAATTAGTACAGCAACCAATCCCATAGACGTTACCTCCCACACATCTCCTCCCCTTAGATTAGCAATTAACACAATTATACAAGACATACTTTTCCCCACTTTTTAGATGTACCCCAAATATGGGTGATATACCCTGATCTGGGTGAGAAACATATCCAAAAATCACCCAGATCAGACCAGGGGTTCGGGAGTTATGGGAAGGTAAAGTTTTGACCGACCGCATGGGTAAGGTAGCCGAAAATAGTTCCATGAGATCTGGCCCTGCGGTCGGTCTCCATTCGTGCTCCAAAAGTCCCGAAAGGCTATACCATCCATAGTGAAGTCGGTAACCGGATTAACGAACGACGGGCTGTTCGTGTGTTTTCATCTGAAGCCCTGGAGGTCTTAGCGGTGTTCGGCTAGTCAAGTGTCTGTTTTGAGTTCCAGACACTCGACGACCAAACACCGCTGTTCGCGGGTTTAAGATGACTGCCGCCACGTGTTCGGCTGCCGAATTGGCGGTCACCCAGGAAATATAGCAGCGTGTTCGTATGTACAAGGGAATATGAAAAGCAATCAGGGAGGTAAATTACATCCATTCTTCACATTAGGGTGGTCCGGCTGTTCGGTACTTTGTTCATATGGTGAATTTAGTGTTTCACCTGCAAGCTGGTATTCTTATACCGAACAAAGTATGGCCACATATAGTTACATGTAATTCTGTGTACTGCAGGCACAGGAAAACCTCTGCAGTGCCAACAATAAACAAAATGGATTGGACCGCCAAAAAGGGGTTCTGCTACACCCGTACTCTAGCTTCGCCTATCAATCTGGATACCCGGGGTGAGTACTAGCTACACGCTTACAGACTTGTGAATTAATCCTCTATATCAGCTGTTGTGAAGGTTATGATAGCGGACCACCTGGTAACCTGACCGGATACCTCCGCTACTTCCCTTTCTTCAGCCGTTCAGGAACCCTTACAACAAGCAGGCATCCATTTTCTCCCCAGTAACTGGACGCCACACAGTTCTGGGGTAAAAACACTGACAATCCTTTATTGGTACACACGGCTTTTAAGCACAGACCCCAACACGGGGTCTCTATTCGGTTCAAAAAATCCTTTGTCCCAGGCAGGAGAAGGGGGGACAGGTTACAGATTAGGGATGTGCATGGGAAAAATATCCAGTTCGGTTCGGCTCAGCATTCTGAAATTCGGGATTTCGACGGTTCGGTTCGGGACTTCGGTTAGGGTTAGGTTAGGGTTAGGGGTAGGGTTATGGTTACCCCAACCTTTAACCCTACCTCTAACCTAATCCCTAACCCCAACCCTCTCCTGTTTTGCCACTTTTCAGAAATCCGAAGCACTTCCGAAATTCGGTTCCGTTCAGCATTCCAAAATTTGGAACTTCAAAACGAAACTAACTGCACATGTCTATTACAGATAACCATCTCCCGCTCTGGGAGATGCCAACAGGACACCGTTCCATACATTAAAACATATTGCAAACAGTAAAACACATTACATATATGGGGGAACACTTAGGAGCTCCGCGCCCCGGGAAGGGAATGGTGTACACACATGAAACATCATTGGATAGCTGGATAGCCCCAGGTCCCAGCTAGGAACCCTGCAAATAGCGGGGCTATCAGATGTACAGAGCCCGAGAAACCATCGCATAAAGGGGCTTGAGGCTCTGTACATCCCCAATATCAGTTCCACAGCATTGATTGGTTTGGTCCGGTGAATTCAAATTTCACGCCCAAACCAAGCAACAACCAATCAGTTTAAAGGCGCGAAACCCATGTGCACTAATTGGCACTCGTGGAGGAGAGGGGTTTCGCCGCCCAATTGGGAGAAAGGGTGCAAAATCCTGTTCTGGTACTCCTCTGATTGGTTGCCTGCGTCCTGCAGCGACCAATCAGTACTCACTAATGACAACCCATCCGGAGAATGGCGCATTCCCAGTTGGAATGGGAACTTCCAGGTGGCTAGTGGGACCTCTGTGGCTGAGAAGCCCACTCACAGCCCCAGGGATCCCGCTGGGGCTACCTTAGGCAGCCCCGGGGGGAGCGCTCTCTGGGCAGCTACAAGCCTGGCCTCATAGCTCCTGGGTGGGAGGACCGTGACTATGGCTCCGTTAGAATGCTTCCCCTGGTTGGCGTTCAGCAAAACGAACCGGCGGCCTCCCAGGGGAGCATTCGTTAATGATTTCCCTGGTGGTTTCAGAATGTTCTAATGAGAGTTCTAAATGGGAAATCAGGGTGGTCCCTGTTCGGGAGACGAACGGGTTCCGTTTGTATTACCTCTCCCGAACACACGAAATACATACAGATTGTGGCAAACCTAGCCACTTGGACTATAACTGGACACTATGCCTTTAGGGGTTGTCTATAGGTCTGGAGAGATATGCGTTTTAACCTGTATGTGTCTGCTTCATGTATTCCCTGCATTACCTGTAATTATCTGTTCCGCCGAATGCAAATGGCGGTTTGTATGGGGATTCCCTTTCGTTTCACGAACGGCACTTTGGAGGGCCGTTCGTGAACCGAACGCAAAGACCCATAATAGCCCACACACTTAGAGGCGTGTGGCGCTAGTTAACCGATTGCAACAATGTTGCAATCGGTAATTAGAGGCTCTCCTGGGTGGCCGTCGTTCGACTACCGACCATGCGGCGGTCGGCCATCTTGGATCCTTTGTTCCCTCAGCGGGGTTATGTCGTCGAGCGCCTGGTACTAAAAACGGCTACTCGACGGCACGAGCCCCGCTGAGCCTCCAGGGCGTTCGGGAGTTTCGGGACATTCGGTATTTTGTTCCCTACAAGCAATCGGTTCTTTTCATATGTTTTATACGAATTGTGTTTTTCGTGCGGCGTTCGGTTATTTTAGCTGGGATCTGAGCGGTAATCTCACGAATGATGCGCTCAGACCCCAGCTATCTACCGAACGTCCATTCGTGTAAATCCACTGTATATTCCCCAAGTTATGGATTTTTGTGTGAATTGTCGGTTCTGCTGCACGAGGGGATAATCCACTTAACGGTGCATTCTGGGAAGATGATCCCTCTCGTGCAGCGGTGCCTGATGGGAGAAATATGCTGTAATGTAAGTCCCCCATGTAGTCCCCTCTGGGAGTGCCCCTGGGGAGGGACTCAGGAAACCCCTTGCATGGGGACTTGTATAAATTGTCTTGCCGATTTAAAAGGTTGTCAGTTGACTCTCAGAACTGTGTCTCGTCCGGTTACTGGGAGGTTGGGGATATTGCCTTATGGTTTTTTCAGCGCTTGACTGTGGATTCGTTTCTGAACCAGCGGAATTCGTGGATTTATAATTGGCGTTCCGCTACACAGATACAAGGGGAAAACACAGACTACAAAGGAAAAACACATGAATAAGCAGTGGGCATGGTACTTAGTGACGGCAGTCCGCCACAGTTATCATGGTAAGTATCGCCAATGTACACAGATTGATAAGATAGTAATGGGTGTAACGGGGAGGGGGTTAGGGTCGGTGTGAGTAATTTGGCCACTAGTAGTGACCACCGGTACAATACTAGGGGGCTTCCAAGAGATCAAATCAAGATGGATTTCTAAGTGAAAGTAATAATAGGGGTTACCTATACTTGGCTTCATGCGTAAGTTGACAGACTGTGATATGCCGCTCAATAACCCCTGAGCTCTGGAGGGAAGCACTTAATGTACGCTCACAGCAGTGTTAAGGTTAAGTAAATGAACTCTAACTAACTATGAATCATTAGGTAGAAACTGAAACGAAAGATAAACAATAACAGGAAGCATTTGAGCATGCTGAGTCTCTTGAAACTCGCCACCACAAGTTCTTTCCGGCATTAGCCGGTGTCAGCGCGGGATCGCGGAATAAACAGAATAATCTGTGAAATGTCAGTGGAGCATGTCCGCCCATCTCTGGTGTTTGCAGGTTGGATAACGCCCAATTTTTGGAGGAAAGCTGCTGTCGGCTGCAGATGAAATGTGATAGTTGCGGCTATCCGTGGTAGCTATCTGGGTGTGTGAGGGGCTCCACCTGTAGGCAACTCCTGCCGATCTCAGGGACTGCGTGACTCGCTGGGGGGATCTTCTTCAGGTCGAAATGGAGTGGCATAAATCCTCTAGAAAGTAGAACTGCATCTCCTCAAAGTGGTAGGCCGTCTTGTTCTTCACCGCTTCTTGGACCGCCATCCTCTCTCGGAGCATGAGGAAGCGCTCCAGCACATTTGAGAAGCCCCAGCCAAAGCTCTGGCAGATTTGGCCAGTCTGAAGCAGCCATCTATTTGTATGCTTTTAGTCGAGCGTTGAGGTAGTATTGAAGCTAATAAGCATCATAGGAAATGTGGCAGTTCTTGATTGACGACTCTTTCCACGGTACCTCTAACTTTGAGGTTTGTGCGTCATCCAGTATCTTCCAGAGAATCTATTTGCACTTAGATGGCTTTATGTGCAGCCTGAAGTTGACAGATCTGCTCCGCGTTACTCTCCTGGTGTTGGGCAATGGAGGAGACTGTCTCTTCGGTTACCCTTACTCTGGCAGTGACCACAGACATGTCCTCCCAGATGACATTCAGATCGGCATTAAAGAAAGCAGGGATATTGTTTATTATGGTCTTAATATACCCCTTAGTAGCTGGGGCTGACAGATACTCCGTCCGTGGTGAAGAGTCCGAACCCACCGTTCTTGGTATGTCATCCGAGTAGAGTAGAATTTGTGTTTACTGTGTAATAGAATGATCAATTATATATAAAGTTAAATTGGTGTATACCAATGTAAAGCGCTGCGGAATTTGACAGCGCTCTATAAATATCATACTAATAATAATAGAATGACCAATTTATATATAAAATCGAATTCGTGTACACCGTGTAATAGAATGACCAATTGTGTATATAAAGTCGAATTCGAGTACACTGTGTAATAGAATGACCAATTATTGTAGCGGACCATGCTACCATACTCTTATACCGTCTCCGGGCTGTCCTTCCTTTCCCCCCCCCCCCTTCCCGTTGTCCCCTATGTTTGGAATTTACCGTACATGTGCGAGACATTCTCCCCTTTTGTTTGAAACCTAAGCTTTTCCCCCTGTTTCGCCTGGCCGTTTGTCTAATTCCATTCCCCTAAGTGGTTCCCGCGGTAGAACACCCAGATATGGAGTGTGCCTCTCATGGACACCGTTCACACCTCCATAAACCGCAACTACACGAACGGCTGGGTGGTCATCATTCGTATAGGCAAACACCTGGCAGCGGCCATCTTGGGACACGAACAAAGACAGCGGTGTTTGGTCGTCGGGTGCATGGAACTAAAATTGGACACTCGACTGCACGAACTGGGACTTCCACCTTCAGTTAATTTGTGAGAAAGCATACGAACGGAGCGCCAATCAGGGGGAACAATCTCCAGAACCAGATATTCATACAAATGGGCATACAAATTGCCATGTTATTTTATATGCTTTTTGTACTCGTCGGTCTAAACTATACCCTGGTGGCGTTTCGGCTGTGTTCGTGGGATCTGAGCGCTTTTCGGATGTTTTGTGCGCTTTGACCCAAGCTATCCAGGATATAGTACTTAAGGGGGTACCTTGTGGGGAAATGCATATTTTGGGGTGTTTAATATTTTACATGTCCTGGACCTGAAAGCTAATGTAATTATCTTCTGTATTTTACCCTGTCCACTCTCAGGTCCAGTGGGGAATGCCCCTGGAATATGTATATGGACACCCCTTGCAGGAGAATTCGCATAAACGGCCAGCTGTGGCTTCATTAAAATGTGTTATACCCCCAGAGCTGAGTGTCGTCCAGTTGCTGGGGAGGTGTTGGGAGAATCTTGAACTACTTTTGCTTTATTTGGCTGTTCCCTTGGAGTAACCTACTTGTCCCTGAGTATATTTTGGAGTTACCAGGGGAGGAGAGTCCCTACTAGGACTAGCACTCTGCTACAATTATATATAAAGTAGAATTCGTGTACACTGTGTAATAAAATTACCATACATAGCAAGGGACTTAACATCAGATTTTTCTGTCTTGCGTAAAAATGACCACTAATCACAAACCATGTCCTCTCCTTTTCATAGATGTGTCTGCCTCGCCCTGTGCTCCTACAGTCCATGCTTCACCTGAGGGCCTTCCTGAATCCTCGCTGAATTTTCTGGCTACACTTGCTTTCAGCACCACTGAGGAAATAGAGTTGCACCTGCAGGAGCGCATGGAATTCAGCAAGAGAGCTGTGTCCTGTGTACTAGAAACGTCCAACCGGCTTCACCGCCGCATGGAAGAACTGTGCGAGCATATCCATAGTGGAGGTAAGGGGGCAGGGAATCTAATATTGACAGGTGTGAACATCATTGTGTGTAATAGGGAGATTCTGGACTAATCAGAACATTTTGTGTTTTGCAAACTGGTGGCACCATGATAAGGAGAAGGCTTCCTGCAGTCTCCACCATTATAAATCTATTATTAACCTCCTCTACTCTGTGCATTAGAGTTTGAGCTGCTGGATGAAGCCCTCCGAACACTGAACAAGGAGCTGATAAGCGAAAACCACAGATTGCAGGATTTAGCTACTGTCCTACAGGAGAAGCTCCATCGCATCTCCCTACAGGTGACACAGGATGGGGATTGATGTATGAGTAGATGATGTTTTATACTATGAAGGGTGTCTGTAATTGTTTTTGATTAGAGGAGAGGCATTTCAGATCAGTTTTAAGTTTGTGGTGTGGTGGACTAACTTAAGCTGAAGATTATTGGTGGGAAAGTAGAGAAAAGAAGTAGTTTGAGCATTGATGATGAGCAAATGAATGAAATGTTGGCCAGCGGCAGGTTGAGAGTTGGTGCTGAGGAAGTGGAAGCCAGACGCAGGTTGAAGGTTGGTGCTGAGATGTGGAGGCTAGAGGTAGGTTGAAGGTTGGTGCTGAGGATGTAAGGGCCAGAGGTAGGTTGAAGATGTGGAGGCCTGAAGTAGGTTGAAGGTTGGTGCTCAGGATGTGGAGGCCAGAGGTAGGTTGAGGGTTGGTGCTGAGGAAGTGAGACGAAGGTTGAGGGCTGGTGCTGAGGAAGTGAGTGGCAGGTTGAGGGTTGGTGCTGAGAAAGTGAGTGGCAGGTTGAGGGTTGGTGCTGAGAAAGTGAGTGGCAGGTTGAGGGTTGGTGCTGAGGAAGGGAGTGGCAGGTTGAGGGTTGGTGCTGAGGAAGGGAGTGGCAGGTTGAGGGTTGGTGCTGAGGAAGGGAGTGGCAGGTTGAGGGTTGGTGCTGAGGAAGGGAGTGGCAGGTTGAGGGTTGGTGCTGAGGAAGGGAGTGGCAGGTTGAGGGTTGGTGCTGAGGAAGGGAGTGGCAGGTTGAGGGTTGGTGCTGAGGAAAGGAGTGGCAGGTTGAGGGTTGGTGCTGAGGAAGTGGAAGTGAGAGGTAGATTGAGGGTTGGTGCTGAGAAAGTGGAGGCCAGATGGAGGTTGAGGGTTGGTGATGAAGGAATTCTGGAGCAGAGGCAGGTTGAGGGTTGGTGATGAAGGCATTCTGGAGCAGAGGCAGGTTGAGGGTTGGTGATGAAGGCATTCTGGAGCAGAGGCAGGTTGAGGGTTGGTTATGAAGGAATTCTGGAGCAGAGGCCGGTTGAGGGTTGGTGGTGAAGGAATTCTGGAGCAGAGGCAGATTGAGGGTTGGTGGTGAAGGAATTCTGGAGCAGAGGCAGGTTGAGGGTTGGTGATGAAGGAATTCTGGAGCAGAGGCAGGTTGAGGGTTGGTGATGAAGGAATTCTGGAGCAGAGGCAGGTTGAGGGTTGGTGATGAAGGAATTCTGGAGCAGAGGCAGGTTGAGGGTTGGTGATGAAGGAATTCTGGAGCAGAGGCAGGTTGAGGGTTGGTGATGAAGGAATTCTGGAGCAGAGGCAGATTGAGGGTTGGTGATGAAGGAATTCTGGAGCAGAGGCAGGTTGAGGGTTGGTGATGAAGGAATTCTGGAGCAGAGGCCACCTGCTGTTTTAATAATCCTTTATGTTTGCTTGTTTTTAACCAATCTCAGCACCATGAGTTGCAGGATCGAGTAATTTCCTCTGAGACCAAAGTTTCTGAAATGGAGAGAAGCATTGAAGATCTTCAGTGGGATATTGAGAAACTGCGTAAACATGAGCAGAAACTCAACCGTCACTTGGCAGAAGCTCTGGAGCAGGTATGTGTCAGAGAGGAGAGAAGCATTCATGTAAAGGGGAGCTGTCACTTCTCTGGAGTTTGGTATAACGTGTAATATTTTTTTCTTGAGGTATCCAGTTTTCTTTTACAATTATCTTAAAGATTTAGCAAATTGTATTATAATCCAGTTAGGCACAGCCAGGGCACACAATGCAAATGAAGAGAAAAAAACAGAAACATTGTTTTGTTACTACTTCTCTCTGTCTGCACCTGGCAGTCTCCATAGTGCGCAGAGGGCAGATCTTGTGACACTGATTGACAGAAGCGACACTGGAGGCGGCCAGCTGCAGGATTTCATATTTGCTAAATACGGGAAATAATAAAATTACAATTCCTGGGAAGAGATAGTTGCTTTTGAAAATCTGTCTGGCAGATCTCAAGGTGATGGCTCTTTAAACATAACCAGTACTGTATGCCTTGTGTTTAGCTCCACGTTTACTTCAATCATCGTCTCCCGGCTTTAACAGATTAGGAGTTTCTGTGTGGGGAGGAGTATACAGCTTAATGTACGGTATACAGCTTAATGTACGGTATACAGCTTAATGTACGGTATACAGCTTAATGTACGGTATACAGCTTAATGTATAATATACCGCCTAATGTATAATATACCGCCTAATGTATAATATACAGCTTAATGTATAATATACAGCTTAATGTACGATATACAGCGTAATTTACGGTATACAGCTTAATGTACATTATAAAGCTTAAAGGACCACTATAGGCATCCAGACCACTTCAGCTCAATGAAGTGGTCTAGGTGCCAGGTCCCTCTAGTTTTAACCCTGCAGCTGAAAACATAGCAGTTTCGGAGCACCTGCTATGTTTCACTGAGGGTTAATCCAGCCTCTAGTAGCTGTCTCATTAACAGCCACTAGAGGCGCTTCCGCAATTCTCACTGTGAAAATCGTTGACAAGACGCTGGACGTCCATAGGAAAGCATTGAGTAATGTTTTCCTATGGGCAGTTTAAATGTGCGCACAGCTCTTGCTGCACATTCAGCGCTGACGTCGGAGAAAGTTAAGTGGCTCAAGGGGTTAAAACGCCTTCAGCCCAGCGGAGGGGGTGGGGGAGGAACCTAAGGACTATGGTATACACCTTAATGTACGCTATACAGCTTAATGTACGCTATACAGCTTAATGTACAACATACAGCTTAATGTATAGTATACAGCTTAATGTACGACATACAGCTTAATGTGCGGTATACAACTTAATGTATAATATACAGCTAAATATACAGTATACAGCTTAGTGTATTATATACAGATTAATGTACAATATATAGCTTAATGTACAGTATACAGATTAAAGGGTCACTATAGTCACCTGAACAACTTTAGCTTAATGAATCAGTTTTGGTGTATAGAACATGCCCCTGCAGCCTCACTGCTCAATCCTCTGCCATTTAGGAGTTAAATCCCTTTGTTTATGAACCCTAGTCACACCTCCCTGCATGTGACTTGCACAGCCTTCCATAAACACTTCCTGTAAAGAGAGCCCTATTTAGGCTTTCTTTATTGCAAGTTCTGTTTAATTAAGATTTTCTTATCCCCTGCTATGTTAATAGCTTGCTAGACCCTGCAAGAGCCTCCTGTATGTGATTAAAGTTCAATTTAGAGAATGAGATACAATTATTTAAGGTAAATTACATCTGTTTGAAAGTGAAACCATTTTTATTTCATGCAGGCTCTGTCAATCATAGCCAGGGGAGGTGTGGCTAGGGCTGCATGAACAGAAACAAAGTGATTTAACTCCTAAATGACAGTGAATTGAGCAGTGAAATTGCAGGGGAATGATCTTGTGACAGAACCATCTGTGTGCTTGTATTTTAATAGCCTTCGTCTGTTTGTCTCCCGTTCGTATGAATGGCTGGTTTCCATAGCCCAGCCATTTGAATGACTCTTTTTTCCCGAACAAAACTGCCGAACGAACGGCCACCCAGGAGAGAAGTGTGCTGCTGGTTAACCTATTGATCCCAATTAGAACGTTGTGGTTAACCGCAGACACTTCTCAATTAAACCGAATTCAGGGTGGTCGTCGTTCGTATGTCGACCACGAGGCAGCGGCCATTTTAAATCAAGCGAACTCCCAGCGGTGTTTGGCTCTATTTCTGTGGAACTAAAAACGGACACTTTTTCTGCCAAACACAGCTGAAACAACGGAACGCCTGGCTGCCTCCACGAAACCATACGAACACCGGCCGTTCGGGAGTTTTTGAGCATACGAAAAGACTTAACCCAGATAGCCTTCCCATGGAGTCATTCGTATACCGAAAGACTGTAAGAACTTTGACTCCATGGCGATTGAACTATGTGTGTGGGATCTGAGCGCTATTCGCTAATAATATGCACTCAGATCCAGGCTATCTGGGGATATGTAATACGAATGGGAAATGTTCGGTTTTTGTGAAGTTATATATTTTTATGTCTTTTGTGATTTTATATTTAAAATGGCGACTGGCTTTGTTCTGGAGTTAATTGAGTTACTTGGTAATTATCTCCAGGACAGAGGGGAGGGAATCATAATGCACTGTGGGTAAAATCTGTAACTGTATGTTTGGAATGTCCCCATGTCTATCTGTAATTCCAGTCTCCCATTTGGTCCCCTAGGGGAGTGTCCACCAAGTGGGAGACCTGCATAAATACGGGCAGGTAGCCCACAGTAAAACCAGATCCTGTTTGACCCTCAATGCGGAGCTTCTGTCTCGTTATTGGGGGGATGTCTTCTTCAAGTTTAGAGACTGCTGGATGGAACGGAAGCCGCTTGGTGAATATTGCTGTTCGACGGTTACCAGCAGTTCATGTATTGCCGTTCGGGAGTTTGGAGCCGTTCACGGATCTCGTTCGGGAGATTGCCGCTTCCCCTGCATTTGGTTCGTAAATTACAGATTAAGCGAACGGAGACTGTACTGCAGCCGGGGAAGGTCTACTAAACGGCGGTTTTGCCTAAAGACACTGGAGGTGTCTTAACAGATCTGTACACTAAAACTGCTTTATTTAGCTAAAGTAATTTACGTGACTATAGTGTTCCTTTAATGTGTAGTATACATCTTAATGTACGACATACAGCATAATGTATAGTATACAACTTAAAGGTGCACTATAGGGTCAGGAACAGAAACATGTATTCCTGACCCTATAATGTTAAAACCACCAGCTAGCCCCCCTGGGCCCCTCATGCCTCCATAAATATAGTAAAATCAAGCCTGAAGCTGTAACTCTGCATGCTGTTAGACTCAGAAAAACAAGCAGTGTGCTGACATCATCAGAAGTGGTAGCCTGATCCAATCACAATGCTTCCCCATAGGATTGGATGAGACTGACAAAGAGGCATATCAGGGGCAGAGCCAGCACAATTCAAACACAGCCCTGGCCAATCAGCATCTCCTCATAGAGACACATTGAATCAATGAATCTCTATGAGGAAAGTTCAGTGTCTGCATGCAGAGGGAGGAGATACTGAATGTTTGGATGCATTTTAGGCAGCCATGACCCAGGAAGGATCTCTAACAGCCATCTGAGGAGTGGCCAGTGAAGTTCTCACTAGGCTGTAATGTAAACACTGCATTTTCTCTGAAAAGACAGTGTTTACAGAAAAAAGCCTGAAGTTAATGATTCTACTCACCAGAACAAATTCAATAAGCTGTGGTTGTTCTGGTGACTACAGTGTCCCTTTAATGTGCAGTATACAGCTTAATGTATAATATACAGATTAATGTGCAGTATACAGCCTATTGTACGGTATACAACTTAATGTATAATATACAGCTTACTATATTATATACAGATTAATGTACAATATATAGCTTAATGTACGGTATACAGCTTAAAGGACCACTATAGTGCCAGGAAAACAAACTCGTTTTCCTGGCACTATAGGGCCTTTGGATCCCCCCCACCCTCAGGGTCCCCCTCCCGCCGGGCTCAAGAGGGGTTAAGGGGTTAAACTGTTACCTTTCTCCAGCACCGGGCTCCCTCAGCGCTGGGGACTCTCCTCCCTCTTCCGATGTCATCTTCCAAATGCACGCATTCAGTCAGTCCATAGGAAAGCATTTCTCAATGCTTTCCTATGGACGGCAACATCTTCTCACTCTGAAATTCTCAGTGAGCATTGTCTCTAGCGGCTGTCAATGAGACAGCCACTAGAGGCTGGATTAACCCTAGTGTAAACATAGCAGTTTCTCTGAAACTGTTATGTTTACAGCTGCAGGGTTAACCCTAGATGGACCTGGCACTCACACCACTTCATTGAGCTGAAGTGGTCTGGGTGCCTATAGTGGTCCTTTAATGTACGGTATACAGCTTAATGTACAATATACGGCTTATTGCACACTGACCGCAGTCCACTGTTTCTTGGGTATGTTGTTAGACCCTAATCTATGTTTTGGCCTCCACATAGAAAAGCTTGCATCTCAACTTTATCCAAAACAAGGTGCCCTGTACAGAAACAAATCCTGCCTAAGCCCTACAGTAAAGGAAAAGATTGTACAGCAAATGCTGACGAATCATTGATTATGAGGATGTAGTATATGCACCTGCACCACAATCCCACATTAATAAACTCAACACATTGTATAACTTGTTCTGCCGATTTGTGCTACAATGTAATTACAGGACTCACCATTGTGACATGCTAAAAGAACTAAACTGGCTGTGGCTGGAATCCAGACGCACCCTTTATCTTTCCAGCCTTGTGTTTAAGAGCTTTTCTGGGAAGATCCTGCCCTACCTGAGCAGAATGCTCTCCCTGGCTGTTTCCACCTCCTATAACCTCCGATCCAGCACCAACACTTTATTTAGTCTACCTCAATACAAAAAGAAAGCAGCCAGCTCCTCCTTCTCCTACAGTGCGCCGCAATTGTGGAACTACCTCCCGCACACTTTAGTATCTGCCCCAAGCCTAAAGTCCTTTAAGAAATCCCTCTCTACATACCTCAAAACAGAACGCACCTGTCATGGTTGATTATATATTTTCTACCTGTTCTATGTTAAATATATTGTGTATAATATTGTTTTTTGTATTTTATTGTACCATAATGTAACAATGCAATGTTTTATGGACCCAGGACATACTTGAAAACGAGAGAAATCTCAATGTATCTTTCCTGGTAAAATATTTTATAAATAAATAAAATAAATTGTGCCGTATACGGCTTAATGTACGGTATACAGCTTAATGCATGGTATACAACTTAATGTATAATATATAGCTAAATGTTCAGTATACAGCTAAATACAGATTAATGGACAGAATGTAGCTTGATCTACAGTATACAGCTTAAAGTATTGAATACAGATTAATGTGCAGTATACAACTTAAATGGATACTGCAGTGCCAGGAAAACAAAGCTGTGTTCCTGGCACAACTGATCCCTCACGCCTCCCCTCCCGGGTAAATAAAGGGTTAGAAACCCTTTATTTACTTACCTGATCCCAGCGCCGATGTCCCTCGGTGCTGGGTCGAAGCTCCGCCCCCTCCTCTGTCCCTCGACGAGCGGGGTCTAATGCACATGCGCGGTGTGGCGAAAGTAACCTTGCCACTGGTTCTTGGAGGGGCCTGTTTGCAAGCCTCCTACCCTGTGTTAAAACCCTGGTGAAAACCACTGTTTGTGCTTTTTTGGAATTAGACAGTAACACTTTGAACTCCCGAAGTGGTTCGAATCGGCACTTCGAATTCCTGAACTCTCAAAGCGGCATTCGAACCTGTGGCAGCGGCCATTTTTAGCCGCAAGCAAAATTAGTGGTGTTTGGTCGTTGAGTGCATGGAACTCAAATCGGACACTCAGTGTACAAACCTTTATCTGGAAATCTATTCATAAACAGGCCTATACATAGGACACGAGGTCACACATTTAGGCTGGAAGAAAGGAGATTTCATCTAAGGCAAAGAAAATGTTTTTTTACAGTAAGAACAATAAGGATATGGAATTCTCTGCCTGAAAAGGTGGTTTTGTCAGAGTCCATACAGATGTTTAAACTGAAATTGGATAAATACTTACAAAAACATAACATACAGGGATATAATTTCTAATTAGTGGGCTAATAGCTGCTTGATCCAAGGAGACATCTGACTGCTATTTTGGGGTCAAGAAGGAATTTTTTCCTAGTTTGTGGCAAAATTGGAAGCGCTTCAGACCAGATTTTTTGCCTTCTTTTGGATCAACAGCAACAACATTTGTGAGGAAGGCTGAACTTGATGGACGCAAGTCTCTTTTCAGCTATGTAACAGTGGGAACACCGCTAAATCCCTTCCATGGATGTTCGGCTATTCAAACGGGAGTCTAACGGTGTTCAGTGGGAATAAGCTCCGAAACCAGAGACATAGACTAAGTGCCATACGAACTCTCTACGTTCCATATTTTGAACGTTACTTCAAATCAGTGAAGTAGACCGGCCGCACAGCCTGATTCTCCGGAACTGTTTTGGGCATGGGACCGTGCGGTCGGTCAAAATGTGACTTCCAGGAAATTCCTGAACCCCTGAACTGATCTGGGTGATTTTTGGATATATTGGTCACCAAGATCAGGGCTATCAGGGGATGTAACATTTGTGGGGATACTATGTGTTTTTAGGTACTTTTGGGACTTTACAGAAATGTGTGTTTTTTTTTTTTCCTGTCTGGAGATAAATGAGTTAATATAGTATCTGGCTCAATTATCTCCCAGGCAGAGGGGAGGGATTGGGAGTGTCGTGCAATTGAACTCTATTATCATTGGTCTGTGACGGTGTAAATCAGTCCATCGTAAATCAGTCCAACGGTGTAAATCAGTCCATGTGGGATTGTCATATAAGGCCAAGTGTGGCACCATTAAAACCTTATTCCAGCTTTCACTCCAAAACTGCGTGTCGTCCTGTTATTGGAGGGAAAGAAAATTTACTCCTGTGTCTGCTGTTCCAGCTTGCAGGGAATTCAACGGGGAAAGTCCTTCTAAGGACTGAAGCTCCCAGGACTGAGTGTCGTCCAGTGCCTGGGGGTGTCTAGAGCGAATTCCCCATGGTCCCTGGGGCCCCAGTCAAGCCACGGCGAGTGTGGGCAGAAGTGCTGCAGTTTGTCCCCTGTTACAGCTAGGAAGCGGTCCTTGGCAGAGGTACCCAGCGAGGGGTACAGGGAGCTCTGTTACACACGGCAATGGCCACACTAGCATTAGATCTCCCCTTAGGAAAGCATTATTCAATGCATTCCTATAAGGATTCCGGTGACGCTGGAGGTCCTCATTCAGAGCTTGAGGACGTCCAGCGTAATTTAAAACACTTTTCGTGTTCTAAGATGCCGAAAGCATCATCTAGCACAGGGGTCAGCAACCTCCGGCATGTGTGCCAAGTATGGCATTGCAGGTGCCTTTGCACAGCACTCAAGGCTGCTAGAGCCAAACAGGCTCTGGCCTATCAGGAGTCCCAGTGAAACTTCAACTATCTGCTAGTGCAAAAAGTTGGTGAGGGACAATTCTCAATTTACACATTGCAGCACTTAGATACCCAGCTCTTGTGAACGGGAATCCACAATGAAGTAGAGGAGCCCACAGCAGCTATCACAGTTCCTGCCCTTGACCTGTACCTAGCCAGCCTGGCCCCCAATGAAGCCACCCTCACTTCTAGATATACACAGAGCTGCAGAATAAGCTTGCACCTTATACAAATAATGCAAACATCCCACGCACAAACCCACACACACAGACCGCACAAAACCACTGACAATAATACACACACACACAACCAAAAAAGCAGCCTCATACACAAACCATCCAAACACACTATGTGACATATCATCCACACACAATGCCACAAGCAGCCCCCAAACACATAGGTAACACACCTCAATTTAAAAATAAACTAAAAAAAACAAGTCTGGCACACCAGGGGGACTACAAGATCTTGTTTTGGCACAGTACTACTAAAAGGTTGCCTACTCCTGATCTAGCGGCTGTCTGTTTTGACTAACAGGGCTAAGGGGAGAGAGGCAAGGCACCTAGACCACTCCAATGAGCTGAAGTGGTCTGGGTGCCTGGTGTGTCCCTTTAATGTATACAGCTTAATGTATAATTCTAACTCTCTCCTTGACCCTCTTCAATCTGACTTCCGCCCTCTCTACTCTACTGAGACTGCTCTTATCAAAGTTACTAACTGTTACAAGAATCCTACAAACTGTGGCAGAAGTACTTCTTTTTGTTTCCCAATACCCTGTTCGGTATTCAGACCGTGCGAATACATTCCCCGACCAGTTATAACTATTTATTCGGGTATAAGAACGACGGACCACCCAGCCCTTGGCGTGTGCCGCCACTTAACCCCGGTCACCTTTGAAAGTACCGAACAGCCGACCACCCCCACAAGGGGAGCGTGCCGCTAATTGATCGCCGGGAAGCTGCGGTCTGCAGTTAACCACAAGCATAATTGACTATCTCTGGGTGGCCTCATTCATGTAATAATTCACCGAACTGAATTCACGAAAGACTCCCAAACGAGGCCCACCCGCATCCTGGCGTGTGTTCCCAACTAGAACATTGAAGCTGCGGTTAACCGCAAGTTAAGTTCCCCCTTTCATGGCGGTCTCCGTTCGGTAAGACAACCAGCCTGTGAGCGGTATTCGCGTAATTGTTCAGCCGTTACTCGTTCCAGGGATTTTAGGTCCATGTCCCGCTGGCCATCTATCAACCTAAAAACATGGCCGCCATCTAGTGTTTGGGACAAAAGACACGAATGGACTTTATATCAAGGAACCTAGCCATATCATTCGTGAGTTCTGAGCGCTATTTATCCATCTGCTGCGCTCAGAACTGGGCTACATAATGAACAGTAGAATGGGAAATATGTCTATTAAAGTTATGTAATTTTATACAGTTTTATGTGTTGTACTAAAACGTGGGATTTTGGGCGCTTGGAGATAATTACATTGTCCCAACCGTTGGACTCATTATCTCCAAGCTGGGCGGTAACAATTTCAAAGGATACATTGTATTACTATTGTATTACTATTGGTCAACTGCTCGTATTGTCACTGTATCCCAGAGGGGGTTGTCCCTGGACCTGGCGTTTTACATAAATAGTGATGCCTGTGTGCCATTAAAGCCAGTTAGTTTTACCCTCAACTCGCAGCCTCGACTTGTGTTGTAGGGAACTGGGAATCCTAGCTTTACTATTGCTAGTGGGATATTCTACATTTACAGGTTTCTACCGTTTGAAGCCGTGTTCGACTCTCCAAGTTCGGGAACCAGGACATCCAAGCGATTCAGCCTCCTGCTAGACCGGAGTCAATCGTAACACTAACGACCTAATCACAGCTAAATACAAAGGCAGCTACTCCATACTAATTCTTCTTGACCTCTCTGCTGCCTTTGACACCGTTGATGGTGCTCTCCTTCTTCAAACTCTTCAATCCCTGGGTCTCTGTGTCTCTGTCCTCTCGTGGTTCTCCTCCTATGTCTCCCAAAACTCATTAAGTGTCTCCTTTTCTAATGACACCTCCTACCCTCTTCCTGTCTCGGTTGAAGTCCCCCAAGGCTCTGTACTCTTGGCAAACTTATTACCTCTTTTGGATTCCACTACCACCTGTACACTGATGACACTCAGATATGTCTCTCCTTCACGGACATCTCTCCTGACATCCTGCAACGCGTCACTGCTTGCCTTTCTTCCATCGCTGACTGGATGTCCTCCTGCTTTCTGAAACTCAATCTCTCTAAAACTGAGCTCCTTGTCTTTCCTCCTCTTTCGCTCTCCCTTCAAGTTCATCCTTGCAAGCGCGCTGTCTTGGCGTCATATGTGATCCTGGCCTCACCTTTGATCCTCACAACCAGTATGTTGCCAAATCCTGTAGATTCTATTTTAAAAACATAGCCCGATTCCGCCCCTTTCTTAAGCAAGATGCTACCAAGGACCTTGTCCATGCTCTAGTAATTTCTCACATGCATTATTGTAACCCTATCCTAATTGGTCTTCCCAAAAGCCGTATTGCCCCGCTACAGCCTGTAATGAATGCTGCCGCCAGACTGATTTTCCTGTTTAGTCGGTCCTCTCACACCCAAACCCTCTGTCAGTCCTTACATTGGCTTCCTGTATCCTATAGGAGTCAATTCAAAGTGTTAACCCATACATATAAAGCACTGAATAATCTTAGCCCCTCTTATCTCATCACAGATCCATAGATATGCCCCTTCTCAGTCTCTCCGCTCTGCCTGTGACCTTCTTCTGTCCACTGCTCGTACCCGTACAGCCAACTCACGCTTGCAGGACTTCTTGCGGGTGGCTCCCTTCCTATGGAATAGCCTGCCTACCGCCATCAGACTCTCCCCTAGTCTTAAATCGTTTAAGAAGTGCCTTAAAACCCATCTAGGAAAGCTTATGGCCTCCCAGACTAACCTCTACCTCACATACCTGTCTCTTGCTCTTTCCTAAAGGGCAGCACTCAACTCTCTCCTCCAGCTCTGCCTCACTCCCACCTTATTTGATTGCTATTTCCTGTCCTAATGTGTTTTACACCCCACCTCCTATAGACTGTAAGCTTGTTTGAGCAGGGTTCTATTAAACCTATCGTTTCTGTAAGTTGTCTTGTAATTGTCCTATTTATAGTTAAATCCCCCCTCTCATAATATTGTAAAGCGTTATGGAATCTGTTGGCGCATTATAAATGGCAATAATAATGTATAATATACAGCTTAATGTATGGTATGCAGCTTAATATACGTATACATACATACACACACACACACACACACACTCTTTCTCTAACACTCACACATTTATATATTTAATTCTAATCCACCCAGCCTCCCTACCTTTGGGAGAACTGAGTGGACTTTCTGTGGGGTTTAGTGGGGCTGATATTCCTGCGCGTGAGGGAGCCGTCTTCATGCAGGTCCTCTCTGCTCCCTCGCACTGTCTGCAGTTGAGCCGGAATTACGTCATATTCCTGTTCCCGGCATTATTACACAGCGCGAGGGAGCAGAGAGGAGCTGCAGGAAGACTGCTCCTTTGCACACTGCCCCAGCCTGCCACCTCCATACCTCCCGCAGGCGGCCGGCTACAAAGCTCCCTGAGTTGGCCGCCTCCATACCTCCCAGGGCTGACGCCTCAATGCTCCCATGGGCTGCCGGCTACACAGCTTCATTGTTTGCCCAGCCGGCCACTTTAGGTAAAAGGCTGACAAATCCCAGACGCCAGGGCAAAATTTCTAGTCGCCATGGCGACCTGGCACCTGGGGTTTGTTGAGGCCTTGCTTAATGTATGGTATACAGCTTAATTTACAGTATACTGCTTAATGTACAGTACACAATATAATGTACAATATAGCTTAATTTAATTTACAGTATACTGCTTAATGTATAGTATACAGCTTAATGTACAATATATAGCTTATAGGGACTCTTCAGTGCCAGGAAAACAAATCCGTTTTCCTGGCACTGCAGAGTGCTGCAGTGCTCCTCTCTCTCCTACCCCCCATCCCATGTTGCTGAAGGGGTTAAATCACCTTCAGTGACTTGCGTGAATCTAGCGCTGATGTCCCTCAGCGCTGGGTCAGACTCCGCCCACGCTCCTCCCCCGCCGATGTCAGCCGGCGGGGCAGACCTAATGCACATGCGCAGCCATGCCCATTATTGAATAATGCTTTCCTGTGGGGGTTTCGGCGACGCTGGAGGTCCTTGTGCATAGCGTGAGGACGTCCAGCATCGTTTAAAACGCTTCTTGTGTTCTAAGAACACGAAAGTCCCTCTAGTGCCTGTCTGATAGACAGCCACTAGAGGAGGACTTAACTCTGCATGGTAATTATTGCAGTTCGTAAAAACTGCAATAATTACACTTGCAGGGTTAAGGGTGATGGGAGTTGGCACCCAGACCACTCCAACTGGCAGAAGTTGTCTGGGTGCCTAGAGTGACCCTTTATTGTACAGTATACAGCTTCATTTATAGTATACAGCTTAAAGGAACACCGTAGGGTCAGAAACACAAACCTGTATTCCTGACCCTAAAGTGTCAAAGCCACCATTTAGCCACCCCTGGCCACCTTGCCTCCCTAAATATAGTAAAATCTTACTTGTATTCAAGTCTGCAGCTGCTGCCTCTGCCCCGATCTGCCTGCTTACAGCTGACACCATCAGCAGTGAGTCCGTCAGCCAATCACAATACTTTCCCATAGGATTGGCTGAGCTTGTCAAGGAGGAAGATCGGGGGCAGAGCCAGCACAAGTCAAACACAGCGGCCAATCAGCATCTCCTCATAGAGATGCATTGAGTCAATGAGGAAAGTTCAGTGTCTCCATGCAGAGGGTGGGCACTCCAATGACACTGAATGTCAGTCACACTGTGTAGCACTGCCCCAGGAAGCATCTCTAGCAGCCATCTAAGGAGTGGCTAGTGGAGGTATCCCTAGGCTGTAATGTAAACACTGTATTTTCTCTGAAATGCCTGAAGGGATTGATTATACTCACCAGAACAAATTCAATAAGTTGTAGTTGTTCTGATAACTATAGTGTCCTTTTAATGTATTTTATACAGTTTAATGTACAGTATACGGCTTAATGTACAGTGTACAACTTAATGTAGTTGTTCTGGTGTCAATATCCTGTCCCTTCAGGCATGTAAACACTGTGTTTCGGAGAAAAGGCAGTGTTTACATTGCTCGCTAGGGACCCCTCCAATGACAGTAATTTCCCGGGTCAGTGCTGCACAATGTGAGGCAGTGAATTTTTCGCATAGAAATGATTGATTCAATGCATCTTTGAGGAGATGCTGATTGGCTAGCACAGCATTTTGCTCCATCTCCACGCTTTCTCATCAGAATTGACAATCTCAGCCAATCCAATGCTTTCTCCACCAAGGATGCGGGTTAGCGGCAGGGCCCGGCAGACATGTGCAGTGCTGGAATGAAGGTACATCTTTATCCTATTTAAAGGGGTGGGGGGCGGCCACCTAAATCAGGGTTTGGCAAATTTGCTTTGAATCTATTTTTTTTGTCAAGACACACACACCATGAAAGGCAGACACACACACTCACAAATTATTGCTTGTTTTAATAAAACTTTATTCCACCAAGCCTCCCTACCTTTGGGAGAGCTGGAGTGGATTGGTTTACCCTGAGTGGGTGACCGGCTAGAAAGTAGTTGAGGTGGGCATCCGGCTGGGGAGAGGGTGGAGACGGGTGGTGAGGGAGCGGTATTCTTCCTCGCATGCCACTTAGTGAGGAATATGATGACATTCTGGCCCTGACCTCATAAGCAGCGCGTGAGGGAGCGCAGCAGTGCAGGGAGATCATCGCTGCCTGCCCACAATACATGCAGCTGCCGGCCTCCACTCTCCCACTGTCAGCCACTCGCCTCAGAGGTAAATGGCTCACAAATCCCAGGCCCCAGGAGAAAATTCATAGGAGCCATGGTGACCGGGTGCTTGAGATCATCATAGGCTCACTATGGCGGTCACTATAGGGTCAGCATACACGTTTATATTCCTAACACTATAGTGTTCCTTTAAATCTAATTCCGCTGCATTCTCCCATGCCAGGGGCATTGCCGGGTCAATAAATACACTTGGTGACCTCAAACTGCTCCCCCAAACTTCACCAAGATCCGCCTCTCAAGACACTGATAAACCTAAACATGGACAAACACATACAGTCAGAGACACACACATACACAGCCAGGCAGAGACACACTATAAATAAAAGAAAATACTGGTGGGGGGCAGGCAGTGGCAGTCGGGTAACTGTTCATGTGCTTTACTCTGTGACTCTGCTATCTCTTAAACAGCCAAATCTCTAGTTTTTTATTCCCATATTGTTCAATGTGCGTCTCGGCTAGGAGTTAGTGAGAGATGCTGAAATATGAGGTTGTGTTTTGAATGTGTCACTATTTAAACTGTGCTGCTTTTGGGCAAACAATATTTGGAGGACTGGAGCTCCTCCCCAGCAATGCGCATGTTTCTCCCAGGATCACATCCATCCTGCAAGCTGCTCATTGAGGGTGTTTGGTGGTTAGTGTGCCTGTTGCTGACGCCGTACAAGTCATGTATTGTTTGTGTCTTTACAGCTTAACTCTGGTTACCACATCTCGGGCAGCTCGGGGGGATTCCAGGGCGGACAGACGACTCTCACTGTACAGAAAGTAAAGTCCCCATTCTCTATAGCGAGCGCATTTCTTATATCTCTGCTGTCAGTCTTACTTCCCTTTCTTTCTTTTTAATGGCCCTCTCTCTTTCAATCAGGGTTATTCACTCAAATTTCGGGACAAACTGCAAAATTCGATGACTAGGAACATTTTACAGTTTGGCTATTTTTTGTTCTTAAATTTGAAATTTTCTCTTTAAATTCCTGACAATTCTCCTTATAGTGAATAACCCCGACTTTATCTTGCTTTCTGTCTTTTTCTTCCAATGTGTTTGTGTCCCTTCATTTCTGCATCAATCTGTCCGTGTGTTTGTCTGTTTCTGTATTTCTCTTATTCCTCCCTGTGTCTTATCTTCTGTTATTGTATCTCTCTTTCCCTCTGTGTATATTTGTGAGCCTCCTTTCCCATCTGTTTCTCTCTTCTGTAAGTTATGTCTCTCTTTTTATCTTTCTCTATCTCTCTGTGTGGTTGTCTTTGTGTCTCTCTCTTGTTCTGTTTGTGTCTCCTTCCCCCCTCTCTCTCTCTCTCTCTCTCTCTCTCTCTCTCTCTCTCTCTCTCTCTCTCTCTCTCTCTCTGTTTTTATTTGTCTCTTTTGTTCTCTTTGTATCTGTCTCCTTTTCTGACCCTCTCTCTTTCTATTTGTCTTTGTGTCTCTCTCTTGTTCAATGCTTATGCGTCTGTTTCCTTTGCGGTCTGACTATCTGTCTCCCCCTCTGTTTCTATATGTACGGCTGTTGCTGATGGTGATGTTTTGTCCTGCAGTTTGAGATGTTGAACGCAGAGCTTGAGCAGAACCAGGAGCTCGCCAATAGTCGCATGTGTGAGCTTGAGAAGCTGCAAAATGAGCTGCAATCTGCTGTCCGGCTGAAAGAGAAGCTCAAGGTAGTGTACCTCCAGGAAACGTAAACTCTGTCAGTCGGGTACTTCTCCATCTCACCCTTTCTATTCTCTCTTTCTCCAGCTGGACCTGAGAACCCTTCCAGAGGAAGCTGTACGTAGCACGCAGGATTTTCGCTGTCTGCAGTCTCAGTTCTCGGTCCTTTACAACGAATCTCTGCAGGTGAAGACACAGTTGGATGAAGCTCGCGCCCTTCTGCTCAGCACAAAGAACAGCCACCTGCGGCAGATCGAGCGCATGGAGGTACAGTCTGCAGGACAGGCTGCTAGGTGCCCCAAGGTTTGGATAGTCCAAATATTGGGGGCTCAGGAGGCTATTGGGGGCTAAGAATATATAAGAATGGATAGTGTCAGTGTTTGAGATGGTGGGTCACACAGTAGATCGTGTCAATGTCCTTGGTTGGTGGGTTGTAGAGTTAATATCGTCCATGTCCATGGGTGGTGGGTAGCGTTGGTGTCCTGAGGTGGTGGATCACAGAATGGATAGCATTAGTGTCCTTGTGTGGTGAGTCGTAGAGTAGATTGGGAAGGTTGCATTGTAGGATAATGTCAACTGGATTGTTTATTGTGCCTGGCTATTGTTGCAGAGTGAAGAACTCTCTGTCCAGAAGAAGCTTCGCACAGAAGTTATCCAGCTTGAGGACACACTTGCTCAAGTACGCAAAGAGTATGAAATGCTAAGGATTGAGTTTGAACAGAATCTTGCTGCCAATGAACAAGCTGGTAAGAGGAAAGCATTCCAAGGGGAATAGAAGATAATTTGTAACTGTATGAATTTATTCCCTAAATGCTTTGCAGGTCCCATTAATCGGGAGATGCGTCATCTTATTGGTAGTCTCCAAAACCACAACCACCAGCTCAAAGGGGATGTCCAGAGGTACAAACGCAAGGTGCGAGATGCCCAAGGAGAGGTGAGCAAGGTGAGAGAGGGACTTGTTAAATTGAATGAGCAGTGGGAAGATATCGGACGACATTAAAGATGGTGTTCTCAATATAGACTTAAGCATGCTGGCCCAGTGTAATGTGGTAAAGGTCAGAATGTAGTGGTCCCTGTCTTGTGGTGCATAGGACAGGACTGAGTGTTCCCTGCTCTGTAGTGGTAAATGGTAGCATTGAGCTTTCCCCTGCCATATTCTGGTAAAAGATAGCACTGTGTGGTCAATGACGACTTCTGGTAAAAGATAGAACTGAGTGGTCCCTGACGGGTTTTGGTAAAAGATAGCACTGAGTGGTCCCTGACGGGTTTTGGTAAAAGATAGCACTGAGTGGTCCCTGACGAGTTTTGGTAAAAGATAGCACTGAGTTGTCCCTGACGAGTTTTTTTGATAAAAGATAGCACTGAGTGGTCCCTGACGAGTTTTGGTAGAAGATAGCACTGAGTGGTCCCTGATGAGTTTTGGTAAAAGATAGCACTGAGTGGTCCTGATTTTGCAGAGTACTTATCTTCTAAACTCTTGACAGATGCGGTACCAGATGGGGGGAACACCAGTCACACCTGCTAATGTGTTGGGGGGAGAAACAACTGCTGCTGTTGTGAAGGAAGAGGAACCAGATGTGAAGAAAGAACCCGTGGGCCCCCTAATTCGAGACTCTGAGACTCCCACCACCCCCGAGGTAAAAAAGGAAGAAGAGGAAATTAAGAAGGAGTCTGAGAGGGGGAAAATACGAGAACGCGAGCCAGAGAGAGAGCGTGATAAGGAGCGGGAAAGAGAGAAAGAACGCGACAAACAGAAAACAGAGGAATCCAAGCGCAAAGACTCTGACATCCTCAAACAACTGAGAGCAGAGCTCAAGTAAGTAAACACTCGCTGTTGCAGATCAGAAAATTCAGATTCGTTCAGGTGGTTTTCTTCTTGTTATAATGCAAAAGGGACATCATAGGCACCAAAATTGCTTACGTTTAGTGAAGTAGTTTTGGTGTGGATCATGCCTGTGCAGACTTACTGCTCAATACTCTATAATTTAAGAGTTAAATCACTTTATTTATGCAGCTCTAGCCACACCTCCCTGCATGTGACTTGCACAACCAAAGAGAGATTTAATGTTTAAACTTCCTTTATTGCAAATTCTGTTTTATTTAGAATTTTTTATATCCTGCTCTGTTAATATCCTTCTAGACCAGGGGTAGGCAACCTTTTAGCAGCACTGTGCCGATATAGGATTGTGATGTTCAGGAGTAGTTTGTGGTATCGTGTATGATACATATGAATGGGGGCTGCTTGTGGAATTGTGTGTGGATGGATAGGTCACATTGCGTGTTTGGTAGTGTGTGTATGTGTGGGGGCTGTTTGGGGTATTGCATGTGAGAGAGGCTGCATCTGGGGTTGTGTGCATGTATGTGGATTGTTAGTGGGTTACGTTTGTGCGGATTGTATGTATGTTTGTTTGTGGGCTGTTCGTATTATTTGTATGAGTAAATCTAGCAGTGTGGGTGGCTTCCCTGGGTTCCAGTGGGGACCAAGCTGGCCAAGTACAGGTCAAGGACAGGAACTGCATCAGCAGCTGCAGGCTGCGCCACTACAGTGTGGATTCCCATTCACAAGTGCTGGGAGGAAGTGATCTGACATCTATGTGCTGCAATGCATAAATTGAGGATTGTCCTTGTGACGAGACCAATCTCGCCACATTGCATTGGAGAAGCCTGGTTGCTCGCCTGCTGCCTTTGGACTATGGCCCCCTTTTAAAAGACTTTATTTTTGCCTGCAGAAAAGCTGTATTCGTGCTTTTCTGCCTGGGGTTCGGTAGATTTGTTTGAATGTGTTATACCCCAGATAGGAATCCCATGGAGCCCATTCGTATGAAACTGACTGTAAAGACTTTAGCTCCATGGCGATTAAACTGTATTCATGTGGTCTGAGCGCCATTCACTTAATAATGTGCGCTCGGACCTGAGCTATCTGGGGATATGTTACATGTCTGTGTTTTATGTAATAAATGTGACTTTATGTATTTTAAAGTGTTTTGTGTCTCTTTGCAACCATGTGCTTAATGGAGTCTTGTGTCTGTCCTGGGAGATAATTGAATTACTTATCTCCAGGATAGAAGACTCTGAAACTGGTTTGGGCCAGAAAGCCATGCTTCATTTAGTCACAAAGGACTTTTTACTAACTTTTGAACCCCTTGTCTGATTTGTGCCATTTTTGAATATGTTGTTCCCCTGAATGGATTGATTGAGAATATGTAATTTTATGTGAATGTGATGTATGGTTTTGGAGTTATGAAAGTTGGGTAGAAAGTATGTTTTAACTGTTTGTATAATTGAGTTTCCTCTCAGGATAAGGGGAGGGAATATGTGGGATGTAACTGTGATATGATTGGTTGTTTTATCCCTCCCTGTGGGTGGTCCTGTATTTGAAACACTGTAATAAAAACCAGGCTGGGTGTGCCAGCACCTCAGACCACTGCTTGACCCTCAACACAGAGCCTTGTCTCGTTCTTGGGGGGATTCACTGTATGCTGTTAGAGACTGATTGCCAGGAGTGTAAGCTGCTTGGGAGCTTTTCCTGTTCGTCTGCTAGCAGCTATTTGGGAGGTTCCAGTTCGGGAGTTGGAGTGCTATTTTGTATCCAGTTTGGGAGTTTGATGTTCTGCAGTAGCTGTGCCTGTATCTCTGGAAAGGGGGCCGATCGCCTAAACGGTTTTTACCCCTTGTGTGCAAAACGGTCCGTTACAATTGGTGGCAAGCGGCGGGATCGTTCCTACAGCCAGAAGGACAGCTACAGGAGACACCATTTCTTTGGATTTTACAATTTGAGGGCAACGCATGTCCCAGTACAGCGACCCTGACAGCACCAGCATGGAACCAGCAGTGGAGTATGACGAGGGTGCCATGGATGACCGAGATGCAGTCCGTAAAGGCATCTGGTACCAGGCACTGGGTATTGTGGAGTACCAGCGGGGCAAGAGACTCCCCAAGGAAGACCAGCGGTTGCAGAAGCGAGTAGCCCTGCGGATGCCCTTCCTGGGAGAGCAGCCCCTAGATGAATGGGTGAAGGAATTGGAGCACCGGGTATGGCAGGAGATTTGGCTGGAAGATGCCTACCAGGCGCTCTGGTGGTATGGGGCACAGTACCTGCCCTGGACAGCCGAGCATGACAAGCCAGAGGGAGAGGAGTTTGATGGTCCTGGCTTGTTATGGGAGGCTTTTTCAGAGCCTGAATTTGGGAGCCCTACACAAGCCCGGTTCAGTGATCTCTTGGAGTGGAGGGAGAGCAGGTATGACTGGGACGACACTCACGACATTGAGCAAGACCTGGCTCACCTAGCAACCCTGGAGTGGGAACTGGAGCAGGACTACCGAGATCTCTTCCACTCCATTGAGAAGATTCAGCAGGACAGCAAGGTGTCAGAGCCAGAGCCAGACCCATTCAGAGGGGACGAGATGGTACAGTTTTACTGGGAAGAACCCCAGGTGGCCGGTAGAGATGGGACCGAGGTCTCTCCACCGGTCCTGCAGGGAATTGGGAGCCCAGTCTCCATTCCCCAGCGGCAGTGTAAAGTGCAGGGAGAGGAGAGCAGTATCCTCCCTCCCCAGCGGCAGGCTGAGTTACAGGGGGCAGAGGTAGTTGTTCCTGCCCCCCAGCAGCAGAGTGATATGCCGGGAAGGCAGTGTGAAGTCCAGGGAGAGGAGAGCAGCGTCCTCCCTCCCCAGCGGCAGGCTGAGTTACAGGGGGCAGAGGTAGTTGTTCCTGCCCCCCAGCAGCAGAGTGATATGCCGGGAAGGCAGTGTAAAGTGCAGGGAGAGGAGGCAGTGTCCTCCCTCCCCAGCGACAGGCTGAGTTACAGGGGGCAGAGGTAGTTGTTCCTGCCCCCCAGCAGCCAAGTGATATGCCGGGAAGGCAGTGTGAAGTCCAGGGAGAGGAGAGCAGTGTCCTCCCTCCCCAGCGGCAGCGTGATTTTTTGGGAATTGGGAGCCCAGTCTCCATTCCCCAGCGGCAGTATGATGTTTTGGGAATTGGGAGCCCAGTCTCCATTCCCCAGCGGCAGCACAGATTATTGGGAATTGGGAGCCCCGTCTCCATTCCCCAGCGGCAGAGTGTCCTACCGGGAATAGAGAGCCCAGTCTCCTTTCCCCAGCAGCAGGACTCTGTATTGGGAGCAGAGACAGTCGGTCTCCCTTCCCCGCAGCTGGAAGTATGTATGAGAGAGGAGCATGTTACCCCCTCTCCCCAGCGGCAGCTTAATGTATCAGGGGGAGACAGTAAGCCCCACAACTGTGCAGATGGGACCGTAGTCTCTACACTGCCAGCACAGGGGGTAGGGACGGTCGGTCCTGCCCCCCAGCGACAGGGCTGTTTAGCCAAAGGGGAGACAGTCGGTCTCCCCCTCCAGCAGCAGAGATGGGTAACCAAAGGGGAGACGGTCGGTCTCCAGCAGCAGGACTGTGCATCTAAAGGGGAGACAGTCAGTCTCCAGCAGCAGAGCGGTGTATTTAAAGGGGAGACAGTCGGTCTCCCCCTCCAACAACCAGGCTTCAACCAGGCTATCCTCCCAGTAGCGCTGGCAACAGGGCAGAGTGCCGCTGGTCTCTGCCCACGCAGCAACCCACCAAGTCAGCGTACCCGTACCCAGCCCAGCCGTGGTGAGGCACCTGGACATGGACAAGCTTCTCCTTTACCCAAGTGTAGTAACCATTTATTGTGGGTGGGCTGTGCTGTTGATTATTTGTTGTGGGTGGGCTGCTGGACTAACAAGGGCACTGACCGGCAGGAGGTCAGATACCCTGTTAGTCTGTTTGGAAAAGGGGAGAGATGTGACGAGACCAATCTCGCCACATTGCATTGGAGAAGCCTGGTTGCTCGCCTGCTGCCTTTGGACTATGGCCCCCTTTTAAAAGACTTTATTTTTGCCTGCAGAAAAGCTGTATTCGTGCTTTTCTGCCTGGGGTTCAGTAGATTTGTTTGAATGTGTTATACCCCAGATAGGAATCCCATGGAGCCCATTCGTATGAAACTGACTGTAAAGACTTTAGCTCCATGGCGATTAAACTGTATTCGTGTGGTCTGAGCGCCATTCACTTAATAATGTGCGCTCGGACCTGAGCTATCTGGGGATATGTTACATGTCTGTGTTTTATGTAATAAATGTGACTTTATGTATTTTAAAGTGTTTTGTGTCTCTTTGCAACCATGTGCTTAATGGAGTCTTGTGTCTGTCCTGGGAGATAATTGAATTACTTATCTCCAGGATAGAAGACTCTGAAACTGGTTTGGGCCAGAAAGCCATGCTTCATTTAGTCACAAAGGACTTTTTACTAACTTTTGAACCCCTTGTCTGATTTGTGCCATTTTTGAATATGTTGTTCCCCTGAATGGATTGATTGTGAATATGTAATTTTATGTGAATGTGATGTATGGTTTTGGAGTTATGAAAGTTGGGTAGAAAGTATGTTTTAACTGTTTGTATAATTGAGTTTCCTCTCAGGATAAGGGGAGGGAATATGTGGGATGTAACTGTGATATGATTGGTTGTTTTATCCCTCCCTGTGGGTGGTCCTGTATTTGAAACACTGTAATAAAACCAGGCTGGGTGTGCCAGCACCTCAGACCACTGCTTGACCCTCAACACGGAGCCTTGTCTCGTTCTTGGGGGGATTCACTGTATGCTGTTAGAGACTGATTGCCAGGAGTGTAAGCTGTTCGTCTGCTTTTCCTGTTCGTCTGCTAGCAGCTATTTGGGAGGTTCCAGTTTGGGAGTTGGAGTGCTATTTTGTATCCAGTTCGGGAGCTTGGTGTTCTGCAGCAGCTGTGCCTGTATCTCTGGAAAGGGGGCCGATCGCCTAAACGGTTTTTACCCCTTGTGTGCAAAACGGTCCGTTACAGTCCTTCACCACCTTTTCGTATTAGCAGATATCTGAAGTTTCACTGGGACTCCTGATAGGCTGTAGCAGCCTTGAGTGCCGTGTAAAGACACCTTGAGTGCCGTGCATGGCACTAGTGCCGTAGGTTGCCTACCCCTGTTCTAGACCATGCAGGAGCCTCTTGTGAGTGATTAAAGTTCAATTTACAGAGCAGGAGGTACAAACATCTAATTGAAAATCAAATCATTTTTTCATGTAGGCTGTGTCAGTCACAGCCCGGGGAGGTGTGACTAGGTCTGCATGGACCAAAGTGATTTAACTCCAAAATGGCAGAGCATTGAACTAAAACTGCTTCATTAAAGGATCTTGTTTTCCTGGCACTATAGGGTCTTTAGGTTCCCCCCCACCCTCAGGGACCCACTCCCGCTGGGCTCAAGGGGGATGAAGGGGTTAAACACTTACCTTTTTCCAGCGCTGGGCCCCCTCGCCTCCTCCTCCCGACATCCGCACTGAATGCGCATGTGCGGCAAGAGCAGTGCGCACATTCAAACAGTCCATAGGAAAGCATTACTCAATGCTTTCCTATGGACATCCAGTGTCTTCTCACTGTGATTTTCACAGTCGGAAGCACCTCTGGCAGCTGTCAGTGAGACAGCCACTAGATGCTGGATTAACTCTAGTGTAAACATAGTTTTTCTGTTTACAGCTGCAGGGTTAAAACTAGAGGGACCTGGCACCCAGACCACTTCATTGAGCTGAAGTGATCTGGGTGCCTATGGTGGTCCTTTAAGCTCAAGTTGTTTTGATGCGTATAGTATCCCTTCAAGAAGCAGTTGATATTGGAGATGCAAGCTTGTTTTTGCAGAAGCTGATATAATTAATTATGTTGTATGTTCTCACTGTTGTCTTATTGAATTCTTGTCTAATTCTTTATTATTTAACTTTATATATAGCTACATAGCTTTTTAGGTTGAAAAAAGACTAAACCCATTCTTTTATGCTGTTGATCCAAAAGAAGGCAGTAAACAAATGTAGCCATTTCCAGTTATGCCAAAAAAAGGGAAATTTCCTTCTTGACTCCATAATGGCTATCAGATTTCTCTTTGGATCAGCAACCTGCTTAGCTACATATCAGTTATATCCTTGAATATTCTGTTTAAGTCCAAAAAAACATCCAAGCCTTTAAAAAAAAAAAAAAAAAGAATATCTATAGAATCTGATAAGACAACCTTTTCAGACCAAGAATTCCACATCTTTATTGTTCTTACTGTAAAGAACCCTTTTCTCTGCTGTAAGTGAAATCACCTTTCTTCCAGTCTCAATGTGTAACCTCTTACCTGTGGTATATTCCTGCTAATGAACAGGTTAGCACATAGCGGTTTGTACTGATCCTGTGTGTATTTGTTTAGTGCAGTCATATCCCCTCTGGGACGTCTTCTTTCTAAGGAAAACAATTTTTTATTTTTTTTTGCCTTTCGAACGGGTGGGGGAGTAAACCTGTGCTTGGCAGTTTCTTTTAATGCTAGAAGGCAGCAACCATAATTACAGGAAAGAGCAGCTATCTGTATTTAGCCAGAATTAACTGAAACACAGCAAATACACATTCCATGTCATTGTCATGTATCATCAACCATTGGTTCCTCGACCAATCACTTCTATTCTCGGGTTGTTGCCCATCACTCACTGCTTACCCTGAAAACTGTTGCCTCCTTCTTACCTCACCACCTCATGTCTGCCTTTCAAGTACTCTCTTTAGTCACTCCCCGTCTGCGAGGCCCCCCGACCCGCCAGCGTGGCCCATGCCCCCTTTGCAAGCGCGAACCCCTCTTCCTGCCAACATCTCGCCCACCCCTGGCCAGAGCAACCCCTTGTGCCCTCCCTTGCCCACGTTACCTGTTACTGTTTGTCCAGCTTCTATGTTGGTGACTGAGCATTTGCTATCTACCTAAAGACTTTTTTTAGATTTTGACGGTTTGTCATTGTGAACCACATGCTGCCGCCTGTCTCCCTGTTTATTGCGTTTTTTCTCTTACTACTTTTTTACTTTTTTTTTTTTTGCTCTAGAAAGGCCCAAGAAAGCCAGAAGGAGATGAAGCTGCTTCTAGATATGTACAAATCTGCCCCGAAAGAACAGAGGGATAAAGTGCAGCTGATGGCCGCTGAGAGAAAAACCAAGGCTGAGGTAACTGTGATGGCTGCCCCTCGTCTGTCTCTGAACTTTCGGTTATTTTTCTAATTCTTCTGCTCTCTTTCATTCTCTCTCTGGTAGGATTGTGTCACTCTCTGTAATGGTGCTCTCTCTGGTAGGATTGTGTCTCTCTCTGTAATGGTGCTCTCTGGTAGGATTGTGTCACTCTCTGTAATGGTGCTCTCTGGTAGGAGTGTGTCACTCTCTGTAATGGTGCTCTCTGGTAGGATTGTGTCACTCTCTGTAATGGTGCTCTCTCAGGTAGGATTGTGTCACTCTCTGTAACGGTGCTCTCAGGTAGGATTGTGTCACTCTGTTATGGCTCTCTCTGGTAGGATTGTGTCTCTCTCTGTAATGGTGGTCTCTGGTAGGATTGTGTCACTCTCTGTAATGGTGCTCTCTGGTAGGATTGTATCACTCTCTGTAATGGTGGTCTCTGGTAGGATTGTGTCACTCTCTGTAATGGTGCTCTCTGGTAGGATTGTGTCACTCTCTGTAATGGTGCTCTCTGGTAGGATTGTGTCACTCTCTGTAATGGTGCTCTCTGGTAGGATTGTGTCAATCTCTGTAATGGTGCTCTCTGGTAGGATTGTATCACTCTCTGGTAGAATTGTGTCGCTCTCTGGTAGGATTGTGTCACTCTCTGTAATGGTGCTCTCTGGTAGGATTGTGTCACTCTGTAATGGTGCTCTCTCTGGTAGGATTGTGTCACTCTGTAATGGTGCTCTCTGGTAGGATTGTATCACTCTCTGTAATGGTGCTCTCTCTGGTAGGATTGTGTCACTCTCTGTAATGGTGCTCTCTGGTAGGATTGTGTCACTCTCTGTAATGGTGCTCTCAGGTAGATTGTGTCACTTTCGTAACGGTGCTCTCTTTTGGTAGGGATTGTGTCACTTTCAGGCTTTGCGCTCTGGTAGGATTGTGTCACTCTTCTGTAATGGTGCTCTCTGGTAGGATTGTATCACCTTCTGGTAGAATTGTGTTGCTCTCTGGTAGGGATTGTGTCACTTCTGTATGGTGCTCTCTTGGTAGATTGTGTCGCCTTCGTAATGGTGCCTCTGGTAGGATTGTGTCACTCTCTGTAATGGTGCTCTCTGGTAGGATTGTGTCACTCTCTGTAATGGTGCTCTCTGGTAGGATTGTGTCACTCTCTGTAATGGTGCTCTCTGGTAGGATTGTGTCACTCTCTGTAATGGTGCTCTCTGGTAGGATTGTGTCACTCTCTGTAACGGTGCTCTCAGGTAGGATTGTGTCACTCTCTGTAATGGTGCTCTCAGGTAGGATTGTGTCACTCTCTGTAACGGTGCTCTCTGGTAGGATTGTGTCACTCTCTGTAACGGTGCTCTCTGGTAGGATTGTGTCACTCTCTGTAATGGTGCTCTCTGGTAGGATTGTGTCACTCTCTGTAATGGTGCTCTCTGGTAGGATTGTATCACTCTCTGGTAGAATTGTGTTGCTCTCTGGTAGGATTGTGTCACTCTCTGTAATGGTGCTCTCTGGTAGGATTGTGTCGCTCTCTGTAATGGTGCTCTCTGGTAGGATTGTGTCGCTCTCTGTAATGGTGCTCTCTGGTAGGATTGTGTCAATCTCTGTAATGGTGCTCTCTGGTAGGATTGTGTCACTCTCTGTAATGGTGCTCTCTGGTAGGATTGTGTCACTCTCTGTAATGGTGCTCTCTTGTAGGATTGTGTCACTCTCTGTAATGGTGCTCTCTGGTAGGATTGTGTCGCTCTCTGGTAGGATTGTTTCACTCTCTGCAATGATGCTCTCTCTGGTAGGATTGTGTTATTCTTTGCTCTCTAACATTGCACTCTGGCAGGTGGAGGAGCTGCGCTCCCGTGTGCAGTCACTTGAAGAAAAGGATCGTAGGGAGAGGAAGAAACTCGCAGATGAGGAAGCACTGAGGAAAATAAAACTGGCTGAGGAGCAGATTGAGCATCTTCAGAGAAAACTGAGCGCCACCAAACAGGTGAGTTTTTAATGTGGCAGGTGGGTGGCACAGAGTTCTGGACCTTTAAAGTCACGGTTTTTATGCTAACTGTTGTGACACTCGGTATAGCTGTTGAAACCTGAAGTATCTTTCTCCCAGTTTGGTAATAAGTAATGTGTGTAATAAGGCTGTTCAGGGGATCCCAGATGCCGGATGATCAGGGGATCCCAGATGCCGGATGATCAGGGGATCCCAGACGCCGGATGATCAGGGGATCCCAGACGCCGGATGATCAGGGGATCCCAGACGCCGAATGCTTTGGGGATCCCACCGGTGGGTGGCCAACGTGGTATACAGGACAGTTTTCAGAACCAAAACCTTCTGACCGACTTGAAAGCTACGGCTTTTGGCTCCCTGATCATACCACGTGCACTGGCGTCGTGAGCCGCCTGGAGGTTCCCGCACACCAGTTGAGTTCCTCTAGTCGCTCCCTGAACTCCAGCACATATGGGACGATGGGGGTTCCTTCCTGTTCCCCAGCACCCTCCCTGTGTTCCCGGACAAAGTCTAGGGGCTCTCTAACTCTCCGTCCGAATATTAATTCAAACAAGGTGAATCCTGTGGATTCCTGGGGCACCTCCCGATAGGCGAACAGGAGATGCGGCAGGAATATTTCCCAATCCTTGCGGGTCGCTGCAAAGGTATGGAGCATCTGCTTCAACATGCCATTTAAGCACTCACATAGGCCATTGGTTTGGGGGTGATAGGCGGAGCTTAGGATTGGTTTAATGCCGCATAACCTCCACGGTTGGTGGGTCATCTCGGCAGTTTTCCCCTTTTCATATATATATATATATATATATATATTTTTTTCTCTTTGGATATATTTAAACTTTGTTCCTTTTTTTTTTCTTCTATATTTTCACCTTGCTGGTGTTATTTAAAACGTTTTCCCTCCCCTCCCTTTTTTTCCCCTCTCTTGTTGTTTCTATTCCCCTCCTTGTGGGTGCTGCTGCTGAGCTAATTAGGTGGAGTGTCCCTTAATTTCCACCTGTGTGAGATTTGTATTGCCAATATAAACCGACTACTGACTCCCAGAGCTTGCTCACTGGCGTTTGCTTGTAGGTAGGCTATTTAAAGTGGGAGTTAAAGCAACAGGAGTTGAAACTTCAAGGGAGTTTAAACCAAGAGGGTTAATATTGTTTTTGTTCACTTGTGTTTTTTGTAACTGGAGATGAGTGCTAGCAAGATTGTGAGTTTAACTGAGTGCACATCATGCCGCATGTATGCATGCCTGGATGATTCTGTCCAGGGTCCATACCTCTGTGGTGGGTGTGAGCAAGTGGCATTTCTGGAAGCTCAGATTAGAGATCTGGAGAGGTAAATTGTAACACTGAGGGAGATTGACAATCTTGAGAGGAGTCTGCTGCTCACTGAGCAGAGTTTAGTGGGGACAGGGAGAAGATAAGACAGATGGGGAACAGGCACGTAGCTGGGTGACAGTGGGGCGAGGAAGCAGGGGGGGAGGGAAGAGAAAAGGTTTAGCTAGTCCTGATCTCATGCAGGCTTACAGATTTGCCCGTTTGAGTGAAGATGTTGGGAGCATCAGCTCAGGAGTAGCTGTACTGCAGGAAGCTGTTCCTGCTAACAGCCGTGGAAACAGCCCCTCTAGTACAGGTGGGGTTGAGAGGATAAGGAAGTCTAGACAGGTTGTGGTGGTAGGGGACTCTATTATTAAGAGAGTAGATAGGGTAATCTGCCACTCTGATCGACTCAACCGGACAGTTTGCTGTCTCCCGGGTGCTCGGGTCCGGCATGTTGCCGACAGAGTAGAGGGATTATTGGGAGGGGCTGGAGATGACCCAGCTGGCATGGTCCATATTGGTACCAATGACAAAGTCAGAGGAAAATGGAAGGTCCTAAAGAATGAGTTCAGGGAACTAGGAAGTAAGCTTAAGAAAAGGACCTCCAAGGTAATTTTTTCAGAAATATTACCTGTTCCGCGCGCTACAGCAGAAAGGCAGCGGGAGATTAGAGAGGTCAATGCGTGGCTAAAGTCTTGGTGCAGGAAAGAGGGTTTCGGGTTTTTAGAGCACTGGGCCGATTTTGCGCTTGGGTACAACCTGTATAGTCATGATGGATTGCACCTAAACGGAAGAGGGTCTGCTGTGCTGGGGGATAGGATGGCTAGAAGGTTGGAGGAGATTTTAAACTAGTGGTAGGGGGGGAGGGTCAAAGCAATCTAGAAAATGGAGATAGGATGGAAAGGAGATGGGCTTTAGCTCAGAACAAAGGGGGTGGAGATGGGAGGAGGGGAAAACTCAGAACAGAGGAGGTATGTAATATTGATAATTCTCAAAAAGTACAAAAGACTCATGATAATATTAAATGTATGCTTACTAATGCAAGGAGCCTATATAACAAAATGGGGGAACTAGAGGCAAAAGCATACAATAAACAATATGATAGGCATAACAGAAACATGGTGGGATGAGACACATGACTGGGCAGTTAATTTAAATGGGTACACGTTATTTAGGAAGGATAAGAAAAACAAGAAGGGTGGTGGGGTATGTTTATATGTCAAACATGAGTTAAAGTCAAATCTTAGGCATGTGGAGTGTGACGAGGAAAATGTGGAGGCTTTATGGGTAGATATCTGCTTGGGGCAAACAAAGGGAAATCAATTATTGGTTGGGATATGTTATAAA